TTTCATGTTCCTGACAGCAACAGTTTCTGAGAGCCCATCTGGTCTTTTGTTCAGTCCTCACTCCATTTTCAATTCATCCGATTTTCTTGTCTCTGCTCACTTGCGCTTTCTGTCTTTCTCCCTTGCTGTATGTCTCGGTGTGATCCTGTGCTACAAATTGAAAGAGGTTACATCCACTTCACAGAGACACAACTCATCATTAAGCTTTTATAGATGCAAAATGTGGATAGAAAACGCTGAATGTTACACTCATTTCTGTGTGTATAACATAATTTTACCTGCCTTGATGTTATTGCTCTGATTTGCCAACATACATAAATTCATCAGAATTAAAATATCTAAGATGCAAAAGCAAGCACTAAAGAAAGAAATACTTAACTAAACCCCTGTCTACTCTGTATAATACGGATGATCAGGAAAATCCTGTTCCAGTTACACTTCTAGCTAGGGAGCCCCCTAATTCAGAACCATGCTGGATGCTATCTGCAATACCTCAGTATTTTTCACTTTCATAATGAGAAAAACCCATATTTTTACCTCAGGTTTAACATTTCACTACATCAGGTGACAGATGGAGTCATCTCAGGTTTCTGGAATCTCCCCTGCAACAACATATCTTGTGTTGTTTGCATACGATTGCGTAGTATCTCAAATAAACAACTGTGATAAAAATGTGTGACTGGTCTGTAATTCTGTGACTTCCTTACCAACCAACCATAAAGAAGATCTAATGGCTCAGTGTGGCCAGTAACTTAGTCATGGGAACAGCACTTAAACTGACCCTTCAGTTGAACACAATTATTATTATTACACTCAACATCTTATGGCACTTTAATCACAGCATTTACCAACAACTAAACTAAAGCATTGGACAACTGACCTAATGATGGTTCAAAATTAAAACCACAAATGTCAACCTGATTATGGCTTTAGAGGGAAAATAAGGGGATCAACAATGTCTGCACAAAATTAAATGGAAATCCATTTAATAGTTAAGACTTAGTTTCAGTCTGGACCAACAAACCAGCAGACCTGTATTACCATCCCTAGAACCACATCACCAGCATGGCTAAATATATAAAAATACAACTGAACACAAAGACCACCAGAGCCCCAAACATAATCCCCATCACACATAGTATATATAAACTATATATAAACATACAGGAACATATTGTGGAACAATGCTAAAGACACTGAGAACAATGAAACTATGAATCACAAGGACAAGCTCCTCGACTTCCTTTAGCCTTTGCTTGCCTCCTTTCTGGGGGAAACCACCGATTCGAGTCAGAGGTCAAGGGGTTTCGTAAGTTGCCAGGAAAAGAGATCATGGTCTTTGGATGAATTCAAAGACTAAGATTTACCTGGAGAGGGTTTAGAGTCTGGACAGGATGCAATTTATTGTATTTACCTTTTCTAATGAGTGAATTCACACCCACCCATGATTTCACACAAAAATAAAAGTTCAAACAGAAAACAGAATGATTCACACCCTACACATGAACCACTTCCTGTTTTGGCTGTTGCCATAGGGACATTTGTTTATAGATCATCTGAGGCAATAACAGCAAAGAAACACACATGTTTACAACAAATATGAACATCTATGGTTGTATCTGCTTCAAAGTTTTATTTTTATATGTAAACCACATTGAATTTCCCCTCGGTGTGTGACATGAAATAGATAAATAAAGTTTGCCTTGCCTTGCCTGTTAAATATATTTTCTGTGATATGAAGAAAATGTAAATATGTCTACATTAAAAGTGATTTATAGTCTAGTCTAATAAAAATAAGAACTAAAAAATAAAACTGTCAAAGTGAAATCCAGACAGATAAGATAATGGAAAATAGAGTATAAAAACAGAAAGTGACAGAGAGACAAATGATTTTCCAGCCTGAGTTAATTTCCCTCTCAGAACAATGTCTGCCCTAGTTTCTCTCTTTGGAGAAACAACATTGACACAAAATGCAAAAACGATCCACTCCTTTAATGAATAGTTGGGTCAATATGTAACATTTGCTGTGATTGATAAATCTCTTTTCAAACACTGTCCCATGTAGGCAAGACTGAATGCGAAGAAACACTCAAGCATAACAGAATACACAAAACACTAAACCACTGCCAGTCTAAGAAAAAATATAAACTTGTTCAGCTTAGTTGAAATTATCATGTTGAAAAGCGTGTGTGAACAAGACTGTGCATGGCCTAATGGTAAAGTGAGTTATATTTCTTATTATATTTCTAAGTGTGAAGTGGCTTTGAAAAAAGATGTAAATAGACAAGGGGAACCTATTTGTAGCCAGACCAGCCTGATCATAACCAAACAGGAAAAACTCCATGGTTATTATTTGGCTAACTGCGCTGTATGACATAACAGCAGGAGAAAAAACCCCTACCAAAAAAACACCAGAGGTGAACAGCTGTATACTGGGAATGACTGAACCTTGAATTAAACACCAGACAGCTGAGTCAGCCAGTACTCATCCAGCAAATAAAAAAAAACAAAAAAAACAAAAAACATTTCCATGATGGTTACTTAGTGCGGACAAACACATACACTCTCCTCAGACATCCTTGTGGTTGGCAATTCTTGTGGTAATGGCTGACTAATGGCACCTCCTCAGCATTCCTGTTAGACAGCGTGCCTTTTTCCCTCCGACCAGCAGTCGACTAGAAGAGATTACAAGATGTCCATATACGTACAGAGCAGCAAAACGAAATCCATCATTCGCTGTCTAAACTTCCAGTGAGTATAAGTGTGTGCACAGATGGTGTAATGATGAGAACTGCGTGGTGTGCAGTTACTTGTGCAGAGTATGTGTGTAAAATATCAGTATTGGTAATATCACTAATATCAAATATTTGAATCTGACACACCCAAGGAAGAATATTTGATTGTTATTTGACAGATGTTTGTGTTTTCATCTTACAATTTCACTTCCTGTCACAACTTCCTGTTTAGCTGGCAGTCTGAGACTTTCAGAAAACCATCTAGGTTGCTATGCTGTATCTCTGAGGAAGGGAGAGAGGTTGTCAAGAGAGTGTCCTTGCTGTGTATCTTTGGCCGATAGATGAGCTCTGCCTCACCCTGCAGTGTCTCAGGCTCAATGAGCTATCCTGGCATCATGGGAGCATGACTGGAGTGCTTCAAAAGGCCAGGCTTTGTGCAACAACAACAAAGCAAAGGCCTCGCTTGTGTTTGGGTGCTGGGACAGCAGAGCGGCCGTGTTTAGACAGTGAGTGTCACAGAGAACTGTATAACCATCAGGAATGTCCTGTGTCATCCCCAATCTGGGTCGTACTCTCAGTCAGCACGGTGCTGATAAACCACAGTTATCTCACAGGTGAAATGTTTACAGATGCGACACCATGGTTTACACGTATTTCCTTTGAAACAGGATGCTTTCAGCTGTGCTGCAATGAAAGCTTTTCTGAGAAATAATACAAGGGTCTATATGTGTAAGTCAGACAGAAGAAGGAAGTGGAAGTATGAGGTGATAATTTCACGGCAGGCTTTGCGAATAGGGTCTGCATCACAGTTAAAAGTTGAATAGAGAAGTGCTGGTAGTGGGGAAAAATGGGGAGACCAGAGGAAATCCTGTCAACAATGGTTGAACAAACTTGAGCGTGAGATAATGTGGATGAGAGCAAGCCTCTACCCAACCCTGGTGATCATTCACAAAGCCTGTTCACACAGGGAAATATGTGCCTGTGTGTGAGAGAGACCAAAGATAGAGACACAGAGGGACTCCTGAGAGGCAAAACAGACTAAAATTGTCCATGATTAGATGGTACACCCATTAAGTTCCTTTTAAGTGGGCAAATTATTCATCATTGATCCTTATTTTAACCTCAAAAACACTACCTTTCTTAAGAAGACAGAGAAAGCCATTGAAAATCCATTTGACTTAATTTTAATTCATTCAAAAGCCTGTTAATACATAAATGGTTCCATGTTTTGATACAGCCTAGGAAGACTGGGAGGGGCTGGATATAGGCTTAGAAAAAGGGTGGGGTGCAGACAGGGGGACTGCACCACACCCCCCTTACCCTGTGCTTTTTTTTCTCCATCAAGAGGTGCTTCCAGCCCTCACTGGATGTGTAGTTGAAACCCCTCAGACATGGAATTCATTCATTTGGACCACTTCTGCTAGTTGGACCACAGGATTCATCATGCAACGTATCTGAAGGACGTCCAAATATCAGCACAACAGAAGCGCACACTTGCTCACTTTGGTCTCCATAGCAACTGCCTCCATCACTCTCCACCGAGCTGTGTGTCCATGAGTTTGACCTACACGCCAGCTCAAGCCCCCGCACTATCTTCAAGACCCTGCGAACAGTTCATCAAAACCTCTGTGGGAACAAATCTAATTCCTTCTGTCTGGCGGCTCTCTTGTCCAGCTGTTACACATAACAAGATTGGCGGGCAGCAGTCAGAGGAGTAAATGTCAGACTGTGACAGGAAAGCCAAGGAAATGTCAGAATCTGTTTTAGTGCATTTTTTCAGAGCCGATATTTGGAAGGGCATTGTTCAACTGCTCTGCTTAACAGTTCCAGCAGTTGTCGAGCCGATAGCAAAATGTGACTTAAGAAGTTCTAATAAAAGAAAATGATTCCACCGTCTTGACATACAGTACCAACCGAGGGCACATTAGACCAGAAAGAACGATATTGTATCAACGCAAGAATAGTCTACTTTGTCAATAATATTAAGCCAGAAGGGATATTGCATACCAATTACACAAGGAGGCTTTATCTCATTAGCCTAGGAGGCATAGTATTACAAAACCATGAGACAAATAATCAACATCTTTTGGAAAATGTACTGTATGTGTGGTTATCACCAGTTTTGAGCAGTTTTTCTGTCTTCCTTATGTGCTTGATGGCAGCTGACACACTGGTTTTTCCTTCTCAAGCAGTTGCCTCAACTTCTGCATTTGACTTACTCTCAGGTTGATCTGTGAAGCTACTGTATCTCTTCCCAGCAGCTGGTGAAGGTGTGCACACAGATAAATACTCGCACAATATCGCAGCTGGATTATGAGCGCCGCTCACCGAGCAATAACACATTTATATTCAGTAAGGAGGAGATAGAAAAGAGATAAGTCTGGCTGAGACGAGGAGATCATGTCAGATGATGGAATTTGGCCTCCAATGTGCTGTAATAACATACGTAACTTACAAAACTGAATGATTTGCAAGTGTTGAAAAAGTGAATGTCGGCTACAAATTCAAAAAGTCAATGTGAATAATGAATGAAGTAATGGTTAAAGTGACATTTCATGCTCATCAAATCACATAACGAGAAACTTGACTCTTCTCCACATTGTTGTATTGTGATTATGACTCAAGCTTAAAGGGCACCGTTTTGTCCTCTCCTCACTTTTTATTTGAGTGGACTTCCATCACTATGGCAACTAGCACTGTGGAAGGTGTATGTGTGTGTCTGCAAATGGCGAGCTGAACAGTGGGCATACTGTAGAAAACAGCTGGGCTTTGCCAATTGCCTGTAAGCCCCCATGTCCCCTGCCTGTATCTCTCCCTTCTCAACGCAAAACGCACACATCTCTATCTGATACCACAGCAACCACAGAACAAAGGGTCCTCGCTCCACCGTCATTGAAAAGTGCTTGGTTAAGTACACAAGGAGTTGCAGTAAAAGCACAATAGTATAGAAAAATACTTTTATTGGAGTTGCTAGCAGACAGGGATTTTCGCTATACACCCCAGGCCGTAACAGCAGTAAATATTAATGCAGTTACTGTACCTCTAGGCCATTGCTACCTGCGTAATCTGCAGCGCCCCTTAGGTAATTTACATTCTGAATTAAAAATATAGAAAACTAACATAAAGAAGAACCATGAATTCAAACAGGTCTTTGAGCTGGGTCTTTTCGTTGTCAAACTGCATTAAACCCATATTCTGATGGTAGACGCTGTCTTTGTAGTAGTATGTGGTGTGCAAAATGGAAATCTAAGCTGGAGACAATAGAAAGCCTGAGATCACAAATTTCCCCATTTCAGCAGTTTCTTTCTTCATCTCCGAAAGAAACAATACCAAACCCTGCTTATTCACATCTAGGATAAGCTCTGCCAGACTGCTGCTGATACATATGTAAACAGCTGTTCTGCCCACGCTTACGGCAAAGATAAACATCTGCCAACAGAGGCTGACCTGTATACTCAGCCCAGCAAATTATCCTAATTGGCTTCTATGAAATAATTATTATGTAATCTCTTTAGATTCTAATTAAATAGAAACAGACTCACACACACACACACACACACACACATCTGTGGTTTCCCTGGTAAAACATCATGAAGGTGGAGAGAAACGTTTTAATGATGCGTGCATACATTTCAAGGTTGAACAATTTGTTTTATTAGTATCTAAGGAAACCAAAACCTAAATTACTGTATTTATTTTGTATACACATTTACTTGCAAGATTTCAGGGATATCACATCTGTTTTGAATAAGTTAAAACATATTAACATGAACAATTAGTTAAGTTCTTAATTCTGTTTGAGTTTTGTAACAACAGGAAATGGTTCATCTTATGAGAAACAGTGCTGCTGTTGATGCTCATCAATAAATATCTTTGACAAATGAACATGGGGTTTTTAGAGCGCCACTACATGTTTATTAATAGCGACATGGAGTAGATGAACAGGGACTGAAAAATTGAACTAGAATAACCACCTTATATATACACATTGGTTTTACCACGCCTATTACACTATGTGGGATGCACCCTGCTATGCAACTTCTGTCTTAGTAATATTTGGCACCACTGCTAGAATCCTCTCCCACTCTAGCAGAAGCCCAGTTTAACTCCTCCATCTCAAACCTGGTGATTATCTGTCAGAAGCAAGCCGCAACCAAAAGTTTATACTATGTACAAGCCCACTTCATAAACCTTAATCCTAGCATGAACAGGAATCAACTTTTAAGAGCTCTCTGCTTGTGACAGCAAAAGACAGGCTTTGTCATGCAGGTGTTTCTTGCTTCATCTTTCCAATCACTTTCACATAGACATTTCACTTTTTTCAGGCCAGGGCCATGCGTTGCGGTTGCTCTAAGTTGGCACGGAATTTATCCAGAAACCGCGAGGCTAATTCGTCATCCACCAGTCGTCCGTCACTGGATAGTGTAACTCTCATCAGCTGCTGGGTGCGCAGGGTCTGGTCATCCTCGCACAGCCGCAGCTCGGCCCTGGAGGTCCCGACGGCAAGGATGCAAGCCTGAGGAGGGTTGATCACGGCACTGAAGCCGCTGATACCGAACATCCCCAGGTTAGATATACTGCCAACCCAGAGAGAAAGAGAGAAGGGAGGAATGAAGGGATGGAAATGGGACGAGAGATGAGACAGAACACGTTACATCGTTAGTCAAGCTCAGCAGGGGGAGAAAACACATAAAAATTAACTAAGCAGTCATAATGGTGGTTCTAAAACCAGCTCCTAGATTCAAGAGAATGTTACCTCTTAGAGTGAGTAAATAAAAAATGAGAGGGTGAACTGAGTTTATAAATATAACTGGTTGTGAACATCTTATTTTACAAAAGAGAACACTGATCAGTGAAGATTAATAGAGCAGCACGCGCCTCCAAATCTCTCCCTAAATGTTGTGTATGGTGAGCAAGATTGACCCGATGGCAGTTTGCGGTTTGCCTTAATGAGAATTCTAGCACAGAGGGATGGAAAAAGAAATAGAGGAAGGGCGTACACATATATCCTCAGGAGGGCAAAGAGGGCTGCATCTCCATAGTAATTCATCGCTCCTGCCTGACACAGAAACCCCATTTATGTCTAAATGACACCATTAATTCTAATGAGTTAAAAAGCCTCCCTTCCACTTTTCTGCAATTGATGGTGCAGTAACTGATGGCACTTGTCGCCCAAGACCAAATTCAGTTCAGGCCCACATGAAATGTATAATATGCATTATGTATTGACTATCTGTGAAACCGGATTTCAGTCATAATAGCGGAAATTTATGATGGTTATCTTATCGCTGACCTATAAAGGAAATTGTGACACAGTAACCACATAAAAACAAATACTGAATTGACAGAATTAATTTATGCTAAAGATTGAAGATGAAAATAACATTAAGTTGTATAATGTTCCATATACCTCTTCTTTACCCAAGAGACTATGTGTGTCTCAGGCTTACCTGAATGAGCCTCCCTGGTACTCCTCAGGTAGAAGTTTCCCATCTCGAGCCTTCTGGGCTAGTGCCTATGGAAACATTACATGTCACTTAAACTCAGAAACACACATGCCATGTATTGGCTAAATGCTGTTCAATGCCACACTCTGAACCTCACCAGGGAAGCCTTGTCTTTTTTTCATTTTCTTTACAGTACTTCATTAAACCAACTAAGGAGCAGTAGCAGCAAAGGGCAGCAGGTTGGAATTAAACCCAGGCTGCTGCGGTAAGGACTAAGCCTTTGTATATGGGGCGCGTGCTCTAGCAGGTGAGCTACCACGGTGCCCCAGCATGTTAGCAGTACAGCTGAGCCTAATGAGAATGTTAATAGTTTGAGATATTTGGTCATATGTCATAGCATTGCACATTCTGACTTATTCCAAATCAAATATGCGGATCATCAGATCTCCATGCATGCTTGGGCAGGATCTGGTATTCTGGTGATATGGAAACAGATTTGCTGTGGCGACTCTTCTGGGGGGGGCGCCAAAAGAAGACGAATATGGTAGTAGATATCACCAAAGTTATTACAGTTTATCCTGATGGGGGCATGAATGTCTGTACCAAAGTTCATGGCAAGCTATCTAATACTTGTCGAGACATTTAACTCAAAAGCTGTAAAGACCAAATGTACATATTTTCCTAGTTAAGCTAGAAACTACTAAACATTCAAATTAATGCCACGATATTCTATAAGTTCTGCTGTGCTGACAAAATATAAAACTTTGTCTTCCCTAGTCACTAAAGAAAAACGCCACAGCCGACTGCAGAACAATTCTCCTTCTACAGTTTTATAGCATTCAGATCTTTTGGTGAAAGGCCACAAGGGTCAGTTTTCAAATATCATGTCAGGAAAATGATTGAATTCATGTTCTATCAGAGCATGAATGAGAGCCTTGGATAAAACACAACGTACCTGTCAATAAAGAGTGAAGTATGTTGATGGTGTCTAGTGTGAGAATGTGTTCATGCATGTGATCCATTAGACCCTCACTAAGAAGCATTCCTGTGATTCTCTAAACATGTTTAGTTGTATCACAGATCAAGTATGAGCTTTCGAATGTGTACAAGCTACATTATACTAAAGACCTGGCTAAAATAAAACAGAAGCCATTTCTCTAAGTCAGGTTGAGAACACTGGATGGACACCATGTGATTATTCATAATTAACTTTAATCGAATGGAAATGTGCTTAAAGGTTAATGCAGGGACACAACCAACACAGAAAGTAGAGAATGACTCACATCATGAGACACAGTGGGATATGGTGGGCAAATTTGAGATAAGAGCTTCAAGTATAAAACAGTTTGATGTTCCACTTCATCACATCTATAGCTAGCAGCTACCTTTCTATGCTTCATTCAAACCACATGTTGATTTTAATTTGAGACCAATAAGGACTCACAAATGTAGATTTAACTCAAGGCTGCAGCACAACTGAGAAAAACAGTGGGGGGCAAAGCACATGTTGAGGGCTTGAGTGGACGAAATTGTCCGCAGTCTAATTGCCCATGCTTTATAGCTGCTGTTGTCCATATGTGCATTACATGTAATGTTCTAAAGCACAGATTTGATCTCTAATGTCATATCTGGTTTAATTTTGGTGTTTCCTGTTAAGCCTTCTAAGTTGATCATCTGGTTTGTGGGTGAGTCTATAGCCTATAGGCTGGCTCTTCTGTTTATCTCTCTCTCATCAACACCTTGGTGGTGCTTGGTATCTGAATTTCAGTTATACCTCCTTTAGTAAACGTCTGTCTCAGTATTGTGTCCATTATGATGTTTGGTGTTTGAGCCAGCTGTAACACTAAGCACTAACAGACATTACATTATTTGACTTGAAGTAATTAAAGTTATTTAGTATAGACAACATACATGAACTAGAATTTGTCTATCGTACACAGTGTTATTGACTCTGAATCTTGCTCGGAAAACGTTAGCTCTTCGTAAGTGCTCTATGAGCAGAGGGAACTACAATATCTTTAAAAAAAACGTTAAATAGATTTTGATAGCAAAACACATGGAAATCTAAAATATTGATCTTATTTTTTTTTTTTCTTTGGCAAGTGACCATGGTATGAGCGAGATAATGCCCTTCGAGGTGTCAATAATCAGGAAATATTGGACTTTGCAGAGTTGGTTCTGGCCTCCACATCCTCCAATAATTCCTAATAATGGACACCTCGTCATCATTATCCCTTATCCCTGTTTTTGTTGAACTGTTTTAATCTATAGAAGTTCCGTAATATTGAACTGACATATTTCTACAGTAGCCCAGAACAGACATACCACTGTAACTGTTTTTTTAATGTGTTGCAAATGTTTAGTTTGTGTTGTCCTTTTATGTATGGTGAACTATGTGTTAAATGTATTTTATTGTCTGTGCATATACAGTAATTCATAGGACATACAAGTTATACTATGTATAAACTATAAATATATATGAGGAAAATAGAGTACTATAATGTCAGTACTTTATACTTACTCTATGTGCAAAAAAAATAGAATTAAAACAAAATGAATGCACACAAAAAGAGTTGATACAAAAACAAATGTGTAAATTGGGCCAGGTGGGTGTGGAATTGAATGAAATCTCTAATGAACACTACTAACTATACAACCACATATTGAGGGAACACATCGTTTCCATCAGCATCAGTTTTGCCAACACTTACAATCAAACAATAAGTGATGTCTGTCCAGACATCACCTCACGGGCTGAAGCAATCACATCTATCGCAAGATCTGTTTACACATATTACAGAATAGTCATAAATCCTGGAATCTGAGCAGAAGTAAGTCTGAAACAACACACCCATTCCCTCCCTCCCTCCCTCCCTTCCTCAAAAACTCTCACTGACACTCAGACACACTGTGAGTAAAAATATTCTCAGCTCTGCCAAGCTGAAGTTGGTACCATCACTACTACAAATACTATCATACTAATATTACTTCAGCTACAATCACTGCTACTATTACAGTGCTGCTCGTAGGGTTTAAAATCGTCTTATAACACCATTAAATTGTTTTGTATCAGACACCATATGTTCACTGAGACATATGGGCCCTGAACATTCAGGTATATTACACCAGGTCACTGCTGGTGAGACATTACGTTCACTACCCTCATCTTGAGAATTCTATCTATGTGCATCTGTGCCCTTGATGAGCAAGAGTGAGACTTACTATCAAGTGTGTGTCTGTACATGCATATCAGATTTTGAGAGCTTATTTATGTGTTTGTGAATAAATGCCTGTCCCCAGCTGTTGACTGAGAGCAGTGGAAAGAGCTGACTATTGTTGCTTTGTATTCCATCTGTGGCCAGTGACAGCTGAGACCACAGCCTAACAACCCCAAAATCTAACCATCTCAAATATAATCAGTTATCTACAGATCTATCCAGTTGATCTGAAACTGTTAATTCTACTCTACATGGTGTGATAGAAAAAACAAGAGTTTGTATACAATACAGTTCTAGCCAGAAGGCGAGGATAACTCTACAGATGCCCACAGAGTTTGTTTTCCCATACAATCGGGCTCCAGTCAAGTCTCCCTTATCTATTCTCACGTACAAATAAACAGCAAAACTCAATTTCTTCCCCTGAAGTGATACACTGAACTCCCACGCAGCTTCATGTTATAATCTACCAATAGGAAATAACTCTCACAACAAGCTTACCTCATAATATATTATAACATAATGGTAAATAATGTTTTCTGGTCTTTAATTCCTCCCACCCGTATGATTTGTTTTTTACCTTAGCATTAGCTGAGATCTCCTGGACCCCTTTGTTTGCAGCATTCTTAATGATTGGGGTAATGAGGCCCTTGTCAGTCGCCACTGCGATTGAAATGTGGATGGAATCAAGTGCACGGGGTCCATCACCAGACCACGTCACGTTCACTTCTGGCATCTCCTAGGATAAAAAGTCAGAGGTCAGCCTAGGTTTTGACGGATAAAATCACTGGACAAAGAGCGATACAGCTTTCCTGCTTCCTTCCGTTCAAGGGTGTGGAGAAGCAAATCAAAGTCTCATACGATACCAAAAACATGTTTAATATGGCATGCATAAAAATCAATTATGATGATAGTTAGAATTATATTACAGTATATGTGGGAAAATCATGAATCAATTTGGTGGCAAATGTACACATTTACTATCAGGCGAGCAAATGGATAAAACAGATTTACTCCTATATCTATACATAAATAGTTTGCAGATTTTTGAATGAATTTGATCTCGACATGATAATCTTGATGATCTTGATGATTACTGTGGTGAATCCTCAATAAATAAATCGAAAAAGTTTTAATCTGCCAATGATGAGTACAGTGCAACAATCTGTAAATCCAATTTGTAAAAAAAGACAAACCATAAATTTGCCTCAAAGCGACTTCCTGATGTACTGAGGTTAACTCAGGGGAAAGAACAGTTTCCTTTTGCCAATTTTCTGGTGTGACAGAGTTACACAAGTAAATCGAATGTCTCCGTTTAGCGCAGAAGCCAATCCAAAGAGGTATTTTGGCCATGTGAGACATTGTACTAACAGTAAAAAACATAGTGTCCGGAGTATGAGAGAGCCATGTGGTGCTTTGGCATTTTACACTCGCATTAACTGTAAACTTTTGCACACTTTGTTCCACATTCCTTACATATACTGTACTGTAGCACTGACCAGCCAGGTTTCTCAGCTGATGCTTGATCTTCGTATAGCAGTGTGTCATATATGCAGTTTCTGCTAAATAGCTGCTTAATAATAAAACCTTTTGGAATTTTCTGTATTTCTGCAAAAAATGCGACCTAAAATGAAAAGTATGTTGTTTGTGTTATTCAGATATTTTTGGACTTGAAGATCTGATCACATTTTCGCAAAAATACATACACACAAAATTCTAAAGGGTTCAGAAACTTTATAGCAGCACTGTATCTTCCAACAGTCTGGAGCGTGCAATGTTGATGCTGCCTGGCACATTTTAACGCTTACGGCCAACACATACAGTGAAGCAGACACAATATTTCATGATAAGTGAACAATGCTGTTCTTATCAGATGCTGGTGAGACATTCCTGGCATGAATTACCAGAGGACCACATTTATTTTTAACATCCATTTCCCTTCACACATTCATCAAATCATTATTAGTCGGTATATGTATTCACAGAATTGATTTTTGTTCCTTCAATTTCCCTAAAACTGTTTAGGAAGATGGATGATGGTTTGAGAGTATCCTCAGAATTTCCATCAGCTGACAAAAAAAGAAAATAAAATGAACACAGAGTCTGAATCTATATTTAGACTAGTCTTATAATGGCAATCCTACAAGGTTATAACCATCTGAATAAGTTAGCGATTAGGACAAAAGAGAAACCTTGCTGCAGAAGTATAGTGTAGAATTTAGTGATCAAATAATGATGCCTTGGATATGGATATGTACAGTATGAACTACAGATTGCTCTGTCCACGGAATTTGTTAAGCACTGAATGACAAAAAAAGACCAGATACTTGTTGGAAAGGAAGTTGATAAGCATGTATACTACAGACATACACATTGTTAGGGGATGAATAAACAAAGATGAACAAAAAGGAAGTGATTCTGAACAATACTTACTTTAAGTGTAACAGCAGCTGCCTTGATAATGAAATCATTCACAGACACTTTGATTTGTTCTGAAAAGACAAAGAAGAAACAGTCTGTGAGCATGTGGTCCTAACTGCCCAAATAGGGTCAAAGACAAATATGGCGTGACAACAAATGGACATGTGGGCCTGTATTCTGTACCTGTGAGCGATACTACACATTCCTACAGGGGGAAGAAAAGTCTCCTATATCTTTCTGACACCAGACTTAAGCTGATCAGAAAAGTCCCTCTCTAGATGACACAGTCACTAGGGTTTGCTCCACTCCCTTGCCCGTGTGTAACACCAATGGGCCAGGCAGGCTTGGCCTGGCATTGCTGCCAACCTTCGCTAGCGTCTATTAGTGCAGTACCAGACCGTTATGAATGCCGCGAGCGGGATGATTAACGAGCTAACCGTGAAATCGCACTGCTCCTGAACAATGAGGGTCCGCAAAAACAACCGGGGAGAGAGAATCCCTCAGTACACACACAAGCTCGCTAATAGGTCTGGAATGGCCGTCCTATTTCCTACATCACTGAGACAGGACCCAGAGAGATTTACTGTTTGATTGACAGCTAGGCAACGTTCAGCTAAATAAAGGCAATTACGTGATAGCTTGTTGAACTAAATGTTTAAAAATAGGAAACTGACATAACATACTTGCTATATCAACATGAAAAATGGCCCAAAGTAAGCATAGGTTACATTTTAGGAATCCATGAAAAGCACCCGTTATGGATAAATATTTTCTTGGCCTAATAAATGTCATGTAACTGAGTAACTAGACACTCCCTTCTCCTTTAACACACACTTCCTGATGGGTGTTGCACAAGAATCTGTGGTAAACAGTTAACTAGGGAAGTTGCTAGAAGGCTAACAAAGTAAGAGAGCAGCTGGCTGAATCACAGGGAAGACACTGATTCATCCTGCTAGTGGTGCATCTATAATTCAAACTCTATCAGGATCAGAACCAACCGTACTGGCTTTTTTCCTATCTTACACTGCCCTCACACATATCCTGTTCTCCAGAGGCCTTTAATACTTTTCTTGAATACTGTCATTTATTACAAAAGGTGCACCAAGAAGCCAGCACTGATTTACACCAAATTTTGTCCCTGAACTTGTTTGCTGATACAGTTTACTTTTTGGCCTGGAGTGAGCTATAAATTAGAGTTATGTGTTATATGTGGCTAACTGTGGGTGTCTTATCAAGATTTGATCAGCCTTGCGTTGTAATGTGCGGTGTGAAGAAAGAGCAGATCTGATCAGACGTGGATGTGTCCAAGATACCATAACGAATAATAATGATTCAGAAATGTACACCCCAGCCGGGTTATTATTAGACGCAGGAGATATATATATACATTTCTCATGTATGTACTAATATTGGCAGGACTGGTTTCAGGTTTAGAATGAACTGCACATTGCCACACAAACTGTGTTGCATTCTTATTAGTGTTTTTTTGTGATTCTTGCAACTGTTTATTTTTATTAATTCCTTGTTTACTGTGTTGTTTCTGCTTGTTACATACATACAATATTTCTTATTCTCAGGTCTCTCTTGGAAAATTAATCTTAATTTCACTGATACAGCCTGATTAGATAAAGATGAATAAATAATAATAATAATAATAATAATAATAACAATAACAACAACAACAACAACATAATCATATACATGAATTTCTCCTTCTCAGAAAAATAAATAATCTCTGCGAAATGGTAGAGGTGTGTATGCATGTTGGTTTGAACGAGACGTACACGACAACCCTGACGGAGAGGACATGTACAATGACTGTCCTCTTTGTCAAATGAGCAGTCATGTGAAAACCTTGAAATCCAAATCTTCATGGAAAAGTTTCCTTCTAAATGTTACTGTCAGACCTTCACTTAAGGACATGATACTGACAAGTACATAAAAAGAATAGTGTACACACACTCCCCTCAGAGTTTCATGTTTTTACCTTTGGCCAAGTCTTTGCGGAGGTGCATGACAGCAGCCATGTCACAGTCAACCGAGGCGTACGCGTGGGGGATGGTGGTCTTCGATTGCGTTAGTCTTTGAGCAATCACACGGCGTACATTTGAGGCCGGGATCTCTGTGAAAGTGCCCTGAGGAGGACAAGTGGAGGGAAGGGGAAGTAAATAATTGAATGAGGAGAAAAGGTTCATTTTAAAAGAGACAACAGGGAAAGACAAGGAGACAATAAAAATAGTGATACACATATCTCTGCTGCCATCAATCATGTATGTAATGCATGGGGTTAACAACGTAAAGATGCTTTTGACAAGGCCGTCAATCTTGGAACCCATTGGCTACCTTTTGACAACAATTGGCGAATGTTTCGGGGGTTCCAGTGCAGCCACCACCCAGGACATCCAGGCCAAGACTTGGCCCATGTGCTGCTCATTGTTTACTGTCCAATCAGCAACTTGAGATGTGAGAATGGTAATCCCTATAAACAGATATCTGCATATGAACTCTAAATCATCGTCAACCAGAACCACCTCAGATACTAAAATCTTGTCCCTGGCCTACAGATTCTGCATTCATGAGCTATGGTGTTAAATAATGGCCAAAAAAGTGTTTCTCTGGGACATTATGATGTTATAGTGAAGTTGACCTTTGACCTTTTGGGAGAATAATGTCAATAATGTCTACATCGTTGCATCCCATTAAACATCAGTGTGAAATTTTGTCACAAATACTGCATCAATTTTTGAGTCATGGCCAAAAACATCAACAAAAATGGAATTGGGAAATAAAGATAAAATCTGTTTGTTATGATGTTTGTGGTGTTTCACAGGCATACTAAATCTTAGCTATCGGAAGTTTAATCTAATATGTGAGAACAGGACTATTAAGATGCCAACAGTCAGTATGGTCGCTCATCATTCCCATTGGGCCTTTGACACAAGCAAAAGCTGAAAGATGTAGTAGTTGTAAGTGTCTTAGCACTACTACAAAACAGACACTATGGTGTGTAAGTGTGTTTGTGTGAGAGAGAAAACGAGCGAGGAGTGCTTACCGGTGCTCCTGGTTTCCCTGGTACCGAGAGAGGAGGTATGTTGGGTCTGCTGCCTGGAGGTGGAGGTGGAGGGGGAGTAGCAGTGATGGGGACAGGACTCGGGACAGCCGTGGCAGTCATGGCTGGGGTTGCTTTGGGGGCAGGAAACTTCTTCAAGAGATTCAACGCATCTCTGTTCAAGTATAAACATATAATATAATATTATCATTCTCTGAAGGACCCAAATATAACTGCCCACTTCCTGATGACCTGTCTGTGTTGGTCATAAGAATAGTACAGGCTTCACTATTTGTCTGTATTATTGTACATCTAGCTGGGCATACTTTATGCACTGCTTTGTCCCAAAGTAAACAAGTAAAACTTGTGAGCAGGCCACTTGATATTTTCCATTATGGAGATAGAGGGGGAGGAGGACTGATGTGGGTGGAAATGAAGGGGCAACAAGCTGTAAATATGGCATACCAATATGGCAGTCAAAACAACCGGAGATGCTCCAATCCTAAACACATTAGAGAATTGGCCTCATATCTGGATTACATAACTCATAAATTATGTTAAGAGAGGTTAAATCACAAACATTTACATAAAATGCTCCCCAGCTCTTTTTGAAATACGCTGCGTTTATGTCAGTGTTATTTGGGTCCATCTTTGTTGAACTGCACAAGTAAACTGGCTGTTTCCCAGTATGTCACTGTTAAACAGATGAACTATGCTATTTTGTTGTTTTCGTTGTACATTTCATGTTTTCTGGTATTTATTAATGATGGCTTAATTTTTTACAGCAAAAACCTAAATATTTCAGATGAAAAGCCTGTCAGTTTACTTTGCTTTGACCATTATAAATGAAATTACAAGTGAATGAAACAAGACTAGCACAACTTATGACAGCACAATAATGTATTATTCACCCATATATTCCCACTTGGCAAGCATATAAGTAGCACTCTGCTAGTTTTATCTGATGTGTATTTGTGTCAGGCTTAAAGAGAGGTAACTTTCGGTTGTCCTCCGGTTGATGGGTGTCATGAGAATCATTTGCTAGCTAGTCGCAAACAAATCCCATCAGGGTAAGGCCAAGGCAGCTGCAGTACGGGATAAGCTCATTCAAAACCTTTGCTTCAGGATCCTTAATCCCTAATTTTCATATGGCATCTTTTTTCAAGGCACTACAATAAAATAAACCATTTTTTTGGTACAGACACCTAGTGTTATGTTGCATAAATAAAAGACAGACTTGTTGATCTACAGCTAACTTGAGAGTTTATTTCTACCACAACCAATTCAATATCAATTATATCGCATTGGGCTAAGGGTGGTCCAATTGATAACGGATTGTAATCAGCCAATGTTCTCTCCAATTAGTTTGATTCAGTGATCTCTATAAACGCCGATCAGAAGAGCTGATCATTTTATACCACAGGAAAGTTATGCAGTGTTTGACATACATAGGTTTACCGCCGGTATATTAACAGCCAGGGACTCGTTTTAGTATTTTGCAATAACCAACAAAAGGATGCAGTTTAAGTTGTGTCATATTTAACGTGGTCTGCCAATAAATACACAGTATTCAATTCATAATTGAATAATTACTGAATTGAATTAACTAATATACAATGTTGTTAAGAATAGCAAATTACATAACAAGCCCTTACATTGGGCTGTTAGACATGATAGGGAAGATTTATTTGTATAAGTTAATTTCCCACATATAAAACATTTCTAACACATCAAATTACTGCTGTTTTGTAGAGGTAATAGAGGAAGTGACTGCTACACTGAGTATTGATAGAGAGGGGGCAGAGAGAGATAAAGAAGGGTGGAATCACAATTTACTGAAAGAGTAATTTATCACCCATTCATTTTTGTTGTAGCAGCAAAAGAGGTGGGAGGGGCAGGCATCAGGTGTTCCTGCTTGAAACTTTCTGGTTCCACTTCAGTGCGCTAGGGTCCACCTACCCACACACATCCAGTCTTTTGTCTGGACCAGCTGCCTCTGACCTCACCATGTATCCCAGAGCAGTCTGGGCCCCACAGCTATTTTCTCCTTGTCCCTCTCTGAGATTCATCTTTTTATTTCCTCTAGGACACTGGCTCCCCCCCCTAGCTCCTCTCTTACTGATAGAAGTATTTATTTGTGTAGGGACTGGGGCAACTTGGAAATCCCCCAGCTAACCTAAAAGGACCACATTGATGGTTTAATGATTATAGGCCACCACATTAAAAAAAGGAACATGCAGCATAGAGGTTACATATGACTTATAATTTGAATGTTCGTAAAAAGATGACAGCACAAGCAAATTGACAAAAAGATGCTAAAAGCTATTTAACAATATTGCAAGTAAAAAAATAAATAAATAAAAAAAAGGATCTAAAATGCTAAGTGGAAAACCTGCCTTATTCTTAAGTGAGAATATATTAAGAATATACCATATAAATTCAAGAGGAAGTCAAGTCAACAGCAGGCTACAGTGGCCACTTGACAATAACGCCATAGATACCTTTTGTGTAGCTGGATGGCATTTGCTATTCACACTGACCATTTACACCCCTACTGACAGCCAAGGCAAAGGAGCCTCTGAAAGACTGGGAGACAGTGTGTAGAATATTAAAAAGGGAACGAGGCAGCTCTCAGGCACACACACATGCACGAATAAAATGGGCACCAAAAGTACACACATGAATAAACTTTGTCTTCTACTGCCACCTAGGACAGACTAAGGTTGAAGAAAGGGTGTTGTAGTCATTGAAGCTGCTCCACTGGACTGGTGTGTAGTATTTCTTTTTCATGTATTAACAATCTTAAATATTAGATATAAGATTAATGATATATATATAATATAAACAACCCATTATGCATACATCCCCTTTGCATAGGAAATCCAAACCACCACTTCACCCCTAAGGAAGTTGGTTAGCACGAACAGTGGCACAGTTTCACAGTTGCAGTGTTGCAGCATGGAGATGTGCCTTTGAAACAATGGAATAAAAAATATAATAACAATAGTGTTGGCAAACATTATGAAAATGTTGCTGTTTTTGACCTGCCGCTACAAGGCAGTAACATTATTTTCAAATTATCCTTTTTTTTTTAAAACACAACCTTATAAGTCACTACCATTACATTGTGTTTTACTCATAATTTACTGTACATATGGTTGCTACATAGGGTCCTTTTAGTATTCTTTTATGTGAATAATTTGAAGTTTTAACTTCAGCTACATGCCAGAGAGCCCAGGATCAAGAAAACCTTTCTTTGTTAATGAATACCTGTGTTAGTCGAGGTCAAACCTGTCATTAAAAACCTACTCTTTTAAGCCCGCCCCCCATTGCAATTTAACCCTTTTTGCGCTGCTAGACCTACATCCGGCAACAAGTGAAATAAATAGATATGTCACAATACAGTACTTTGATATGCAACTATTAAACGCTTACATTAAACCTAGAGTTGGTCATTTTAAACTAACAAGCACAACCAAAACATCTGCTTGTAGCCAATAGTAACCCTTACTTTTGGACACAAGCAGGCTACACGAAGCTGACAGCTTAAATGGGCTTTCTTTTTGAAGTGTGTATTAGGCTTTAACCAATGTAACAGTTATGTTTAATAAGTGAACTAATACAAATAAAAATAGTAATAGCTTTTTATACAGATTTCATTAGAAATATCCTTCAAGGTCATCCTTTCCATATAAATTTCCCCTGTGTTTCCCTTGCATTACACAGGGTACCGTCATACATTCCTTCTGTCTGTGGGAAAATACTAACAAACACTTGTGGTGTGACCCATGGGAAGTTAAAACGTATCTTTTCTTGGCTATTTATAACAATGATGGAAGAAAGAAAACGTAGCAACTCAAATGTTTTTCTTGTACCCACTCTGTATTTAAACCTTTCTATGGATTATGTAACATGCTATGATCTCATCCCTGGGTTGCGTGACCTGACCTCTGTTATTCATGGCTACTAAAGAGGGGCCTCACTAGAGCAGAGGGTGGAATGGGAGGGGTACCTTTCCCTGGTTTCAGTCTTATCTGATGTGCCAAAGGACAAAAGAGGGGAAATCGGGTCTATTCTGGCCTCTCTTAAAGGAGCTAAGCCTATATGAAACTATTCTCTCCAAGGAGATTTGGTTTCCAACAAGAACAGAACTATTCAGCCTCACGACATACCTAAGCTATAGCCTCAGCTATTCTGTGACATCAAAATGAAAATATCTAAACATCCAAAATGCTTTGGCTAAAAGGAAAGGGCTAAATCACACCAATTTAAAAATGTGGGCATTAATTGGCTACCCAATGCTGCAAATAAGAAAAAAAATAGACCAATTTAGTTAAAACTTCCTCGCCTGCTCTGGTTGACATCTCTTTCCTTCAGAGACTGCAGTGGTATGGTTACCACAATCTGTTACACACATCTTTGCCCTTGCTATTACAATGCTAAACAAGCACCTAGTACAGACATATCACTTCCCGTTTAAACAAAACATGTAAAACACTGGCAAAATGTAAGACAATTTCTCTTCATCTTGAATTATTGACCAGTTTTTCTAATTACCACACCCAATCATCTTCCTATCAAAGCTCTCTTCTACCGTTTAATCATGAAAGATGTTTTTGTTTTGCAATCATACTGGAAACCCCACATATTACTGATTTATTAGCAGGATGCTCAAACTAATAATCATTTGTATTCATCAGTGTCCATTCCTGAAGTTTTGTATTCAACACTCCCAAATGTACTCATTTTTTAAACAAAAAAGACACACAGATATATATATCTGTCGGACCAACAAACTGTGTGGAAAAGCATAATTTAATTCAGAAAGACCTCTTAGTAAAGATGCAGTGTTTTTTTAAATTAGAGTCTTTCATCTCCTGCAGAACCTGCCTCTGCTTTCTTTTATCAACCTTCCTTTCTGAAACCTTTCTGAGCAAATTAGCTAATGAATTGGCATGCTGAGTCACACATGGTCTGAAGAGAGGTAACTGAGCAATCACGCTAATTCAAACGCTATAATTATTATAATAAAAACAGCATAACTAATTGAACAATTTAAACTTCAAAACCTAGAGATTATGTTTCACCCACACAGCACAGACGATGCCCATGGTCATTAACCCAGACAATTAATTACTTTATACTAAAGGAATGAGATATATATATATATATATATATATATAATATATATATATATATATATATATATATCTTGTTATATCTTGTTATATATCTTGTTATCTTGTTTTTGGGATTGATAAGAGCTCTGTTTGTGAACATATATATTGTAATGGTAATAGTAATACATATTAAGAGAATAAGATTCACTGAATTTCTATGATGAAGCTTTATATTCTTCTTTTAATGCTTAAGACGTATATCTCTGAAAACATATGGTCTGCGTTTCTATGGTCACCAGTGGGTCTTGGAGACTGGGTTGCTATGGAAACCGAAGTTGCTTAATGAGATTCCCCAGCAGGGTGTTAGGTGGGTAACGAGAGCATTCAATTAGGTCCCTGCTGACAGCAGGTGGCCATTAGAGCTGTGTGTATGTAAGAGTAACTGTGTGTGTTCACAGCTTTCTGTAGTGCGACTTCACCACATAACAGGATTAAAGCACCTTAAACTTAACCACCACATTTATTTCACTTATCTAGATTCATTTTTTAATTCACACTGCTTACACAATGGCTGTAACTTGCCTTGCTCTGATTGACATCTCTTTCTTTCCAGTTTGTGCCCTTGCTATCACAATGCTGAACAAGCACCTCGTACTGACACATCACTTCTAGTGTAAACAAAATAAATAAAACACTAGCAAAATGTGAGACAATTTCATGTATCTTGAATTCTTGAGTTTAGCTGATTAGCATGGCTTATCATCTTCTTATTAAAGCTCTATTTTTTGAAGCAGCAGATAATTCTGTTAATAAAAATCTATCATCCCACACCCTGCATGATAGTAGGTTTTTTCACCTCACCTGGAACATTAACAAAAATAATAAAAACTATAAAAATTCAAAAAAGAATATTGTCAAAACTATTCTTAATACTTTTAGTAACCTCAGACTGGGCCCAATAAAACTGATGGGAGATTCTGTATTGTACATTCTTGCATTCAGGAGGATCTACCTCACATGGAGTATATAACAGGCTTTAGAGTTAAAGCCATTCATCCATACTCACTCCTTGGTGATAAGTCCTCTTGGTCCAGTGGGTGTGGCCAATTTTGGGTCTAGCCCATTGGTGTCCAGAATATGTCGTGCTGCTGGACTCAGACGTAACCTGGACAAGGAAGTGAGAGTAAGGCACAGTTTTATAGTAGTTCTAGTTCCGGTTTTAAACTTAAAAAAAAGACTCAATAAACCAAGCATTTCGGTCTAGTTTTACGATATGATAGCAACTGCATTCACACATGGGAAATAACCTATTGCTTGGCTCAGATAACATCTTTATCTCAGTTTTAGTTTTACTTGACCTAACTGCCTTAAAATAGCCTATTCTTGTATCTATCGCCTAGTGGTCATACTTGCTGCACAACACCTCCACGTTTCATCTTTCACCACTGTCACGCTGATGTAGCCAAACTGCAAATCTGAATGTGTGGACAGGCTCAGCGTAACATGTTTGCATAACAAATAGGCCCTGTTTGATATGTGGCAGCTCTTTTGCTTTCCACAAGAGTATTTATTGTGTAAACAGGGGTAGGGTAGGATCTCACATATATTGGAATGTGAACAGAGAAAGATGGTTTCTATGTGTTAGATGGTGATAGTGGAAAACCTGAAATCAGCATGGCTGTATACTGAACAAGCAGGGATGTACTACTTGGCTTTGCAGTTCCACCATACAACTCAGTGACCACAGTCTCTGATAACAAGGTGGTCAACAGGACTACTGGTTGTCCATTTATAATATTTACACAACAACCAAAACAAAACATGCATCATAGAGAGTTGGAAAAGCCCTCAGATCTCGTCACTTAATCCAAAGTACTGTGGGTTACAAAGGTTAGCTCCGTCAACTTGACAAGAGTTCTTTAATAACACACAGACTCTTCAGAAGAGTAATTTGGGAACAATTTTTAAAATAAACAACTGTTAAGTAGCATAACCTGATGTTGATACAAACATTTCACTAGTCACCTAATTTAAACAATCTGACATGTTTTAATAACACTATGACACTGAGATTGCTCATACTTTCATACTTTAACAACAAGTTTAACTTACCAGTATAAACAAAATCAAGCTTATGTGGGGATAAAATTATACATGTTTGGGCTGAAATAGCATACAAATCAAAATTCTTAAATTCTTCCTACTAAATTCTTCTAAGTTTAGATGACCACAATCGCTGGTGCCCAGAAGATGTTACCTTCCATTATGGCCACATAAGGCAAGGAGGTGAGTGTATAGAGAGGTTAGCAAATCCCCTGTCATTTGAATAATCTATACAGTAGACAGGTATGGTTTCGACTGCTAAAAAGATGGAAGGCAGCACTCACGGTCCTGATGTGGCTGGTTTCGGTGGAGAGGAAACAGCTGGGGGCGCGACTGGGGCCGCGGCTGCATGTGTAGCAGGTGAAGCGGCAGATGGAGCTGCAGCCTCTGGAGGGGGGATCTCAACCTGCTTCCAGTCCTGCCCTTCCTCCACCATGAGGGCAATGAGAGTGCCCAGGCGCACGTTTCGACTGCCCTCTTCCATCTGTAAAGAGGGTGAGAGAGGCATTTATACGGTAAGAGGAGAGCGCAAGCAAAACTGGTTCAGTACCCTAACATCACTTTGCATCCTTCAGTTTTCTCCCTCTGTTAACTTAAAAAAAACGCTACTTAGAACCTGACTGGGCAGGAATAGGTTCTTGGAGCGCAATGGACGCGTTTTCATGCTGTTCATAGCTGTCGACTATTGATTCACTATCTTGTTACAGAGTAATCCAAATCCATTGCAAGCCTTTTGCTATTCTCCCCAAGCTGTGCAAGGTGTTGTTCCTCAGTCAATATTGATCAGCCTAAATGAAAGGCCAGGCACAATACACAGGGTTGGGCTGCTGCACTTCATCTCCGTTTAAAAAAGGTATCCACTTAGTGAGCTGCATCTTAAAAGGTGTAGCTCAATACAAGGAGTTCCTGCTTTCTTCATTTTCTTATTCTCTCCTTGCTGAAAGAGGCTAAGATCCTGGCTGTGCTCTTGCATACAATCACCATTACATGACATTACCACTAATCAGCCAAGATATGACAACCAGCCTTTTTTAACAGCTGACCAAATGAAAAAGACACAATTTCACAATAAAATGGTGAAAATTGAAAGCACCATCAGTAAATCCACAGTGATCTACACACTCCGCCCCTACTGCCACCGCCTCCCTGTAGCAGGCTTGCAGAATCAGAAGCGTAACTCCAATGATCGTATCCACCTAACTGGAAAGAACAGCAGACTATATGAACACCTGCGCTCACTGGTAGAAAGAGCTGCACGCCCATGCTTATACTGAGCTAATTTAGTTCAATGCAGACCTAACTGTCCTGCAGCAAGGTTATAAAGATAACCTTAACCCCTAAGACAAATATCTACATGGAAAACAACCAGCACTAGCACTGCAATAAAAGCATCTCTTCTATCGGGGTAATAAAATGTAAGATTTACCTAGTTGATTTAATAAATGCTAAAATAACTACTTTTTGTAGGCATTTCTGTGGACTGCTCATGTAAAAAGCTATACTAACCTATAGGTGCCATATACTGGCCAACACAACAAGAGTATGCCCCAGGTTGTCATATATCATATATTACTGACAAAAACACTTAAACCTTGAACAATAGGTCTGCTGTGTGATTAACACAGAACTGCAGTGGGAGGTGATGGGTGGGAGTGGGTGTAAGGGCCTCTAAGGAAAATCTGGACTTCAGTACATTTCCACAGAGATTCTTCTTTTGTCCCAAAGGGATTTTTCCACATGGTAGAGACTAGAGACACAATGACACTTAAGCAACGCTGCGATACATGATATGTTTTTAGACAGATATCAATATATCTGTGTGTAACTGAAGAGGAAAACCTAAAGGAGACCCAAATGACAAAAAGACAGGATCCATAATACACTCCATTTACTCATTGCAGTGCTCACACACACGCGCACACACACACACAGACACACACACGTGGACATGTGTCATCATTTAACAGCAGAAGTCCTAGTGCATAGATAATCGCCAAAAGATAATGTTTTATAATTATGGTTCCAGTTTATCAACAAAGTTTATCAAAAAATAATACAAGCCACCGACATATTTTGTTTTCAATAATCTGTGAGGAAATACATTTGCAACAGACTAGAGTGACTAGCAGCCTAACAGAATTGTGCACTCACAAATTGGTTTGTGAATTTATGCTCTATGCTCAGTCCTGTTTGCAACCTCTCCACCCCAGCCCCGCTCCCAGGGTCAACCTTCAACGATCTCAAATATATATTTATTATTATTATATATTACATTCATTCAAACAAACATGGAACTGCAATAATATAAGAGGACTGTTGAGAATGTGCATTTCTCACAAAAGTGGAAGTTTCGAAAAACCCTGACCATCTTGAGACTCATCACTTTAGAGGAAGTCACACACAACAACACTGCTGCCATAGCAACTGGGTAGATCCTGGCCGTACAGTCACATTCGTTGTCGTAGTTGCATAAACAGCAGCTTAAAACACTGTAGTGGTGTGGGGCTCAACACTGCCATCAAATGGTTACAGAACACTCTGAAACCAATGGGGAGTGTAAATGATGCTCACACCGTGTTCTTGCAATGGTTCAAATATTCTCTGTAAGCCAAAGTTGGTTTTAATTATGCTCAAGGAGGTGCTGCTGTAAAAAGCCAGAAGCAAAATCCCATCTTCACGGTGAACTCTTGAATTAGAAGGAACGTTTAATCTTCGCAGCCTTTCTGTACTCATGTCTGGAATGGTACACTTAGAAAACTGTTTCGATAAACATGACTGAAGAGTCTTGAGGCTTTTCTATGGCAACACTCACTGGGAGAAATCTAACAGATCTCAGATAGAGCACCCACCTCTCCAGAACCCATCAGCTAGGCTAATGATTTTACATTAAAGTCACACAACACCATTTATGAGGTTTAACCTACTTATTGCCAAACTGTTTTCATACAGCCATACAGGCGCCCCAAGAGTCTAAACAGCTCAGTTACAACAAGCGTACCTTAGCTGACATCACCAAACAAGTGAAAGTATACTTCACAGTATTAATTAAGGATTTAATAATGAAGAAAAAGGAGTGTAAATTTCAAATGGAAGACAAGGATTAAAAGGAGTACAAAATAAAAAAAAAAAAAAAACACATTCTGACATTAAAATGATTTTAAAAAATTTGTTGCAGAAGCACCGAATATATATATAGATATTGTGGCCAGAAAAGTGATGGAGAAGGTAAACTCCGAGCTGTCATAAGGCTGCAGAAGCAGTGGGGGCAGCAGTGAGGGGAGTGAACCGCCCGTCTCAAATTCTTTAAGCCTTAGACTTAAAATCATATTCAGACGCATGGTGAAAATTCTTAAGATGAACTGCAGGTCGAGCAAAGTTCAGTTATGGAAGCTGATGAAACCAGGGAGTTATGACAGACCCCTGTACATGATACAGAAAAGAATTCTGTGGGAAGCTTTGTGGAGAAAAACACAGAGGCCATCAGATCCTGCAAGAACAGGCAAGTAATATCACTCCCACTGATTATAATGTCGACACTTCATAAGAAGAACACGTCCAGAACCTCCGCAGATACAGACCAGATAGCATCTGAGATTGTCAAAGACATAATTGAAGAGCTAAACAAGCTCTGAAAACAAAATCTGTCGCCAGTTTGTGATGTTTCCAGTCAGGATGTGTTCTTCATCACTCCTCTGCAAAAGTTAATAAGAACTTGGCATGGGAATTTTGCTTTCTTACACTTTAATACAGTTGTTTTCTTTCTCTCAAAAATGTAATCTCAAGAAAGTAAAAAAAAGTTTGTTTCTGGGATATTAGTTTTGTTTTTATAAATATATCTCGATTCTCTATTGAAATTCTTACGACTTAAAAGTTCTTTCATGCTCCAGTATAGCTTTTTTCTTTTTTTTTTCTTTTCCGGTTTTAGTGTATTGGTGTGGCGGCGTCACAGCGTCACAGCACCACATACAGGCCTGACATATGTACTACAGCG